TAAATTTTCAGAGATTTTGGGTCTCACAATTGTGGCTAAAGGATTATCATCAAAGGACCTGTATATCATTGTGCCATTATTTCATGTTTCACTATCTAGGTCTCACTTCATTAAAATGGCTCTTCACTATTCTGTCTCCAGTAAAGCATATCCAGCACATAGCGGATATTCAGTAAATATTTTATGAATGAATAAATGAAAGAACTAAGCCTCACACTAGGTTTAGCTAGTCAAGGAAGAAGACTCTGTTCTTTGTAGTAGACATTCCCAACACCAAAGCCAGTGAGTGCCTTATACATGGTGAAAACAATAACTATTGGTTGAGTTGAATCAAATTTCTCAAATCTCTCGCAGAGTACCTAGGATGGTAAGGACCCAACTAACACTTCGTGATCCCAATATCGCTGACTTAAAAAATCAGATTGATTTCCATAGAGGAGGGAAAACACAGAGCATGGGAGAACGGAGGAAGCAGAAGGAGTGGGAAGGCTAAACATGGAAAAAAATGTGAAAAAGAATGGATGCGGGGAATTACATTTCACAAAGACCTTGGACTGTGCAAGGGGGACCCTGCACACCTTAAGAATTCTGAAGCATTTTTCTAAGTTCAGGGATAGATGTGCAGGTTTGTTACATAGGTAAAATTGTGTCAGGGGAGTTTGTTGTACAGATTATGTCAACATCCAGATATTAGGCATAACAGTATCCATTATTTTTCCTGATCCTCTCCCTCCTCTCATTCTCCGCCCTCTACCCTGTGAAAGGCCCCAGTGTGTGGTGTTTTTCTCTATGTGTCCACATGTTCTCATAACTTAGCTCCCACTTACAGCTGAGAACATATGGTATTTGGTTTTCTGTTCTTGTGTTAGTTTGCTAAAGATAATGACCTCCAGCTCCATTCATGTTCCTGCAAAGGACATGATCTCATTCTTTTTTATGGCTACATAGTACTCCATGGTAAAGGGCTGGAGCATTTTTCTTGATGTCTTCTCTTGAGAACAACCTCTTTGCTGGGTCCCTGTGTGACTTCAAATCCTCAACGTCACATTTGTAGTTACAAAAACACTACGTTATCCCTTTCCTTGTCTGGGTAGTTTTAGAGTCTTTTATCGAGAGCTGAACTGAAAGACCATATTTGGAGGATACCACATGGCATCCAAACTGTATCCCAAACTGAACTTTTCTAAATTAGAGGTTCTGAATGGAACAGTTTGTAAATTTATCAATTGCATACAATGTTTTTTTAACATAAAACTTGCTTTGAATAAGACATTGTAGTGTAATGTTTGCAAGCATGAGTGATGGAGACAGTCATTAGCCAAATTGCTTTGTCTCCCTGTGTTTTGGTTTCTTCATTGGTAAATGGGATAATACTAATGACCTCATATTATTGGAATGAAGGCAAAGGATATAGCAAGTAAAAACTTCTTTGAGAGGAACATGATGACATAGTCAGCAGAAATAGTGCTCAATGTCAGTATAAGGCAGTTAGATCTATAACCTCTTATATCAGCCCTGCATAAACAATGATAATATATGTACCAATTATTATTGATATTAGTCATGAAATAATGATTTGAATTTGTACACTATTCTTACTTTTCAAAATGCTTTGATTTGATAGCAAATTTGGTCCCCAAGTTATCCTTTGCAGTAAACAAAATATGTAATCCCAATTTAACAGTGAAGACACTCTGGCCAGCTGAGTTCAGGTCACATTCACAGGAACTCACCCTTGGCTTTTGAGATCTGGATCAGCTCCAGCACCCTAGCTTTCTCCTTAATGCTCCCACTACAGCATACCATGCCTTTCAGGAGTCTGATTTTGGTCAGCTCCAATAATCTTAAAAGTGCTGCCATCTTTCATAACCCTCAAAACAACCTTTCCTTCCCTTATTTTCTGAGCCTTCATTCACAGGGATGTTGTTATTTTGAATAAAAAGAACTATGTGACAATAATCTCCTATGCTTTGCTCTTCAAAGAGTTCAAACGTATTCTATGTTGTCAACCCACGATTATCACTTCCAGCTTTCTACTACATAATTAGGAGGTGAGGGGATATAAGTAGAGTCTCTATTCTCACCTCACTTATGTACAACAGCAGGGTATAAAAACTGATTTATAGATGTGGGTGAAACAGAACATATTCATATATGCATATATACTAGTTTTTATAAGACTGTATCATACAGTACTATATATAAAATAACACCTTATACAGTTTTTAAAAAATATTTGTATATGTATGTTATCATTAAAAACGAGGCTTCCTTATCTATGAAATGGAGATAATAGTAACTACTTCATGAAGCTGTTGTAAGGACTAAATGAATACACATTAAACAGAACAGTCTCGAGTATATAGTACACAATAAATGTTAGCTGTTATTATAATTATTTTATATATTATAAAAAGATTCCTTATTTGTAAACATTATTCACTACAGACTATCCTAAATACTTAGTTTCTTCAATGTATCAAATGTTTATATCTGTCAATACTTATTTTCTAACAACTTTCATAAAAATATTTTTCCATGAAGTGGCATATTATGTTCCTTAAAAGATACTTATAGTTTGTGGCAATAAATGCACCGTAAGTCAAACGACTTAAAGAAATAAAGGCAAACTGTAACTCAGAACCTATGAAACAATTGTTTTATACAATAGGGCCTTGTTCTAGTCCTCACTGCCTGTGCTATATATAAAAATATATTATTTATTTCCTTAAATTGATTCATCTTCATTTATGACTGTTTAATTCAGCACTGTTTTCAGAACAAATGGTATTTGGAAAGAATTCACTATGTTTACCTTGGTGCATTTGTATCTAAGTTCTAGTACAAAGGAAGCTGTCATTCCGAAGGACTTGTACCCCTTCAGCCCATGACGATGACAGTCCGAGTTGAAAGTGCTTCTCATCCATCACTAAAGAGCACGGTCAGGGCTGGATCAACTAATTTTCTCTCAAACACGTGCATCCAAAATGAGGACAAATAAATAGAGACAGCTCATTATACTGCTCCAGGGAAGGATGAGGTCTCAAAGTGCTTCTTTCTTTAGCCCTGATTTTTACTTCACTAATTTGAAAATAAATCCTTACTTTGAACCCTTCCAGTCTACACAGACTTTGGTATATTTAGAACAGAGTTTTGAGAAATGTTTTCCCAAGTGTGTTGCATAGGACACTGGTGTTACAAAATAGTGATAGGTTTTTTTCAAAAACACATACATGTGTACACACACACACACACACACGCACACACACACACACGCACGCACACACACAAATCTATCAGGATTCCATGATTAAATAAAGTTGTTGGATATTGGGTTAAACAGAGTTTATCAGATTTTTTTTTATTATGGGATTTCTCAGAGACCTAATGCTACTATGACTCTCTAAGAGGGTGCATGGTGAACATCTCTCAGACATATTTATCTATGGATTCTCCATTTCACAAACTTTCCTATACTAGTGTTTCACAAAACACACTTTGGGAAACTTTTCTAGAATACCATATATTTGACATCTTTAGCCTGTATCCCTTTTCTCAATTCTGAACAGGATTTCTCTTTCTTTTTTGCATTTTTAATAAATTCAGTAATTTTCCCTTCTACAGCTGAAGGAATCCATCTACTATATCAAGTACATTTTCTATTCTTGAAATTAACCATTACAAATTTTCGGTTAATTGTTTTGAAATAATGATTTATTGACCTAAAAAATCAGTTGTGTTAATTCATAATTAAATATCAAATTAAAATATTCCAGAATCAAACTTCTACATAAGCCCATAAGTTTGCCTACACACTTATGTCAACCAAATGGCAGGAAGTTGAATTTATGATTGTCATACGAACTCTGATGAGCAGAAGCCATTATATCTTCAGGAAACCACAGCAATCAACATTGATAACCTCTACATTGTCTTATAATTAAACTATGTTAATAAATAAGTAAAAATGAAGGCATATTTATTATTAAAAATCATATTAATCTGGTAGCAAGAAAGCTCTAAAGTTTAGGGGTAGCATTTTTCTTTAAAGTGCCTGATTCCTAAAGCATGCTAATATTAAAAAAAGAAGTAAACAGTCTTCAAAGGACTACACAGACTCTTAAATGCCAGGGAGCTATTGCTGATAACATTTCATTCCTCTCAAAACCTTGAGACTTAAATTTGGACTTGAGACATTATGATGTCTTAAATGTAAACATACTATATATATTGATTTGAACTAAAGAAAACAAATTTTTTTAAATGCAGTAAGATTTGACAACCTCCATCTATCAAACTCTATGGATCTAAGCTTGTGGGGTAATTCCAAGGAATTTGAGTGCAAAACTGCATATAAACATACTGGGTACGTTCACTTCTCTTTGTTTCTGAAGTAAAAAACCCTGTATATTAAAAAGAGAAAAACTAAACTCATAAAATCAATTGATGAAGTTGGTCTCAGCATCCCATTACAATGAAAAGCTATGTTAAAACAAAAGAAAAGGTATTGCCTAAAATTACCAGTTTGATACAATGTTCCCTAAGCTGCTCCAGTGTTGTCTATCACAAATCAGCAAATTCAGCACCTCTTTTACATTAAACTTGATTCCAAGTGTTTCAGGGCCTCAAACTGGAATCCAGCTTCAGGTTTCTGACATTAAAACCTTAATACGACAGGAAAAATTCCCTTGGGCACATCAGGAATAATCAGATTTCATCTAAATTATTAAATTAGAGACATTCAATTGTTTTCCCAATCTTTATTTAGAAATTCTAAAGGCCCTTAGAAAACATGCTTAAGCCAAAGGCAAAGTTGGCAAGTGAAACCGTTTACCTGCGAAAGCAAAACAAAGAGGGGTCCTCACAATCCCGTTGCAAAGTGGCACGCGATGTACCCCATCCCTATTGTGAGGCACAAATTCTTTGTAACACTGGGAGACACCGCAGAACAAAAATACTATTAGAAATGCTTCAAAAGGAACATTTTTGGTTGCGCTAGGGACTTTTGACATTATTTATTAGGTTCAAAAATGCTTCACAAAAGCCTAACAATGGTTCTGTGGAAACCAGTACATCTGAGGCCCTTTCTGTTGTTCTGAGCCGGCATTGATTTGAAGATGGGCAGCACTCGCCGAACAATTCCCTCGCAGCGGTCAATGTAAGTGAGCATTCACCACCGGCCTAGAAAGGGCCTGTGAACAAACCGTATGGAAACGCCGGGTTGGGCGGGGGGGTGCTGAGGAGCAAACCTTTATTAACCTCTTGGAGGGGAAATGGGTGGAAGCACCGGCCAGCAGAGGAAGGGGCGCTCCTGCCAGATTGCCATGGAGGGAGGTGTCCTCCCGAGGCCTCCTGTCCCGCGGGGGATGAGGATGCTTGGGGAGCATATCCGGTGCCATGGCAACCGCGCCTCTTCCGACGGGATATCCGGACGCGCCCAGGAGTTCGCTTTGGAAGTCGGGGTGTGCCCGAGCGCCTGCTGGGGCTGCCATCCTCTCCTCCGGCTTGAGCTCTGCGTTACTCGGGCCGGCGCTCTGCTGGGCGCAGGGGGTCTGGCTCGTTCTGCAGAGGCCGATAGCAGTGGAAGGTCTGGCGGCGGAACCTGGAAGGCAAAGCAGGGCAGGCATAAGGCTCAAGTGTGCGGGGTCACACCGCTCCCTGGGACAACTGGATGTCCGAAAAATCAACATTTGTAATGTGCTGGCGTGGGAGGGGGAAGAAAATCAAAACAAAACAAAAACCCTGACATGATCCTAACCTGCCTCCCCACATTTCTTCAAGAAAATAAAAATACTGCCTGTTTCTTTTTGTTTTTTGAAACCACCTCCCCACCGCACCACCTCCCCAATGCCTCAAAAACAAAAAATAGCTTTTGCGGAATCCTCAGAAAACTATATTTCAAGGAAAACTGTTCAAACCTTCTAAAGAGAGAGACAGAAGAATCGGTGGCTAAAATAGGGCCCGAACTTTTAATGAGGGGAAAATGTGTGAACGGAAAATTGTCAAGTGGAGTTATTAATAGATATACAAAAGCAAATGTGTCTCCAGGCCCCTTAGACTGACAACTGATGATTTTTTTAAATACAAAGAGGCCGTTACTTCATGAGTTTTATTGGAAACTTCAAACCAGCTGAAGATTTAAACAGTAAAATAGCCTAAGACTGGATCTACATAACACACCCATACCCGCTAATACTGTTTGATTTTTTTCTTTCTTTGCCCAACCAAATCATTTTCCATTCAAAAGATGCATTTTTTTACAACAAAGCCAAGACTGCTACATGTGTATGAATATATATATTCACATACATATATATTTTACCTACATTTTCATATATATATATAAACTTCCATGTTATATATGATATATTGCGTATATGAACTTGAAGATGTATATATAAATACATAGATAAATCATGAAGCTTTACTTGAGAATTTCTGCCCATTGACCTACACAAAATCTAATTCTTCAGTAGTGACTTAAGATAATTTATGTGCTTTAAATCACTTTCTAGAAGCTTTCAAAAGGTTTTTAATAGCATGTAGATGTCTAGAATATTTGGAGCAACTCAGATCATTCTAAAATTCAAAAAATATGTAAAAGAATTAAAATGAATAGTACCTTCCTAACATGGCTGTCAAACAGCCAGTCTATCTTTAAGTGATTCAGTTTAGTTCATCACACTCTGTTCTGTGTCTGGTATGTACTGAGCACCTCCCCCTGCACACTCCACATGCCCAAGTTAAACGATGAAATTTTTTGTGAATCTGAATTCTACAATGCAGGAATCACTTCCTGAAGTAAAGGTGGAATGGCATTTTAATATCTCCAGTGTGTTGCTTTGTGAACACGAGGTGCTTAATAGCTGTTGATTTGGATTTCTGGCGCTGTCAGATGAACCATGCACTGCCATCAATATTCAGTGTAAGAAGAATCCACCAGAGAACACTGACGTAGCTTTGGAGTTGGGAGCGACAGGGCATGACCTAGACAGGATGTGCTCTCCTATATCTTGAACCAAAAAATAGAATTTCTTTCCCTGAAAGCAATTTAATAATGATACATTTTGCAACAAACTGTCTTAAAGGGGCAGTGTGGTATAATGAAATAAAGCTTTGGGATCAGGACTTCATAGATTCAAATCTTGGCAGATTACCCAGCCTAAGTCTCTTTGTTCTCACCTGAAAGATGGGAATTATATTATCTACCTCACCGGGTTGCTAGTGAGATTAAGTTTGTGCATTCATTTATTAATATTTGAATGCCTGGTACATGTTTGGCAGTTTTCTGGACCTTGAGGGGACAGAGGGAATATGGCAGGCAATAAAAAGTAGGGAAGAGAAGCAGACTAACAAGTGAATGAATAAATTTTAAGTGCCAGCTGGTAATAAATACTATGATGAAAAATAAACTGAGAAAGGAAGTTGAGAAAGACCTAAGTTGGTGACATTTCAAGTCAAAGACTTGAAACAAGAAAGGAAACTAAGTATCTGAGGAAAGAACCTGACAAAATGTTAAACATCAAGTACATAGAGAGTGCTCAGTAACCAAGAGTTACTATAGTCATGTTTAGAACCTTGATATAGAAATACTCTAACCTGGATTCTGCACTAAACCATGAGAAAATAATAGCTTCCATCTCAGAGGAGAGTCACGTGGATCAAAATTGAAGATGTACATTCCAATTTCAACATAATTGCCTTGTTCATAGTAAGACTCTAAAAGTGTTAACCAACCAGCATCTTCTGTTTCCCATCATCAAGCCCAGCCTCTCGGAAACAAAGGATTCTGACTCAGCCTTTCTGGAAGAAGGTCTCCCAGCCCCCTGCTTGAGCACTTCTAGCCCATGCAGTACATTCTCTCCTGGTTCAAAGAAAGTTCTCCTTTGTATTGAGTCAAAAATATATCTCTTTTGTCCTCTGGTCAATCCCAACAAACTATATAAACATGTGAAGGGGAACCTACCCCAAAAGGTCCCTATAAAGCAGGGGTGTCCAATCTTTTGGCTTCCCTGAGCCACACTGGAAGAAGAAAAAGTGCCTTGCTTTGGGACATGAATAAAATACACTAACACTAATGAGAAAAAAAACTGACAAATAATCTCATCTTTTCATAACGTTTATGAATTTATATTGGGTCACATACAAAGCCATCCTGGGCTGCATGAGGCCCACAGGCCATGAGTTGGACAAGCTTGCTATAAATGAAGACTACACAACATCAGTCTCTCCTTATTCTACATGACAGCTCCTAGAATATTTGGAGATCCACATTTTTTCCTTACATTTTCTCTCCTCTAATCTGAACATCAGCACCAAAAGTACCACCACCATCATCATCACCACACCATTAAGCCCTTACTATGTTCAAGAAATTTTATTTATATAAATCATTTAATCATAACATATCTTTGAAGTAAGAATTGTCATTTTTTAAGATGAAAAAACTGGGCTCCAAAAACATTTATGGGACTTGACGCTGGCTACAGAACTGAGATGGGAGAGTTGATATTTGAGCTCAGTTCTTTCTGGTTTCAATGCTTATCCCTTCTGGGCCATCTCCTTACTTTGAATCATTCCTCCTCTACCCTGTGCTATGAATTCACAAATTCCTTATCTGTAAAATGGGAATAATAATATGATCTGCCTGAATATTATATGAGGATTCAATAAAATAATACAAAATGCCTAGCACAATGTCTAGCACCTGGCGAAAGCTTAATAAATTGGGCTGGAATAGTGATGATAAAAATAGCTGTTATTGTCAGGTACAATAACCGAATCAGCAAATTACCTGTTACCAACTCACACCTGTTCTCTCCTCCAATATAATGCTTGGCAACAAGCAGACTTTCATTGAGGAATGGCTACTAGAGTTCTCATGATATCTTCTAGAATAGAACTGACCATGAAGTCAGTATGTTTTCTGTTTATATTGAAGTTTAAAACAAAATGTGACCAGTTGAAATAAGAAAAGTCAGTAATCACAACATGATACTTACTAGAATTTTTCTTGGGATGGCTCAAGTGCTGGCCCTTAGGTCTTGTGTGTCTATGCATTTGTATGCCCTCAGCCTCCAGGTGAACAGGATTTACCAAGTATGCCCAGTTAGGCTTTTTTACTGGTTCTTCCAAAAATGAACTGTTCCAAGCTTGTCTAGGTGTTCCTCTGGCTCTCCCCTCAGTTTCTCCTCTGGCAGTGAAAATCAGTGGAGCCTGGTCAGTTTCACTGGATGATGCTGAAGAGGAACAGAGTTCTTCATAGCTTTCTTCATCAAAAGAAACTGTGCTTACAGAAGACCTGGGGACTATGTACTGGCAAGTAGAAAGTAGTCTTTTACACTCCACTGAACTCTGGGTCCTTTCTGAAAATACTGTAAAAGGCAAACACATTTGTTTGAAAAATGCACTCAATAACACCTGCTAAATTAACGGCAGGAAGGATGACGTCAGGTAATAAACGTAAACCTTTGATTGCTTGATTTGTGTTTCTACTCTAAGTAAATAAAAATGACAGACTGAGGCAGCTGAGTAGGAGAAGAGGAGGGGAGGGTCTGGAAAGGGAGGTAGAAGATTGGGGATGTTTGTGTTGAGTTCTAGTTACATTGCAGGCACTGTGTGAGGCCCCAGACATGTTTGCCACTGAATCCTTGCAAGAACCATATCTAGCAGATAGTATTATTATCTCTCTTGTGCAGGTCAGAAAGCTAGTTTTGAGGTTTATGGGTTGAACTGTGTTCACCCAGTCTCCTCCCCGCAAAATAAAAAGAGATATGTTAAAGTCCTAAACCCCCGCACCTGTGCATGTGACCTTATTTGGAAATAGGGTCTTCAAAGATGTAACCAAATTAAGATGAAGTCATTCTGGATTAGGGTAAGCCATAATCTAATAAGACTAGAGTCCTTATAAGAAAAGGAAACTGAGACACACAAGAGAGCACCATGTGAAGACACAGACACATGTGCATGTTTGTGTACATGTGTGTGTTTGTGTGTACATGCAAATGTAGGATTGAGATTTGAGTGTTGAGATCTCTTTTGGGGAGAGGGGTGCTGTGAAAGGAATGAAAAGATACAAGATTCATTTGCCTTTATCTTATTACCCAAGCCAATTCTTTTTGAGATTCTTGCTTTCATATAAATAAAAATGAATTATGGTTTGTTTCTAAGTTAAGATATTCTTCACAGTGGTATGAATGCAAGCTCTGAAGCTTGGTGAGCTGGGTGTGAATCCTGATTCTACAAAATACTACATGTGTAGCTAAGACAAGAGTCTCTAGGTTTACTCTGCCTCAGTTTCTCATTTGTAAAATAGGAATAATCAGATCGACCTCTAGGAATATTGCAACTATTAATTGTAGATTAGATAATGCACATAAAGTGCTTAGGGTAATAGATGGCACTTAGGAAACACTTAACAAATGTTGAAGATTATATAGTATACTAGAGTTTATATGGAAGAATGCTTAATTATAATGATACATACAATTATACAATTTTGATTTTTAAGAGGCAAAGAATAAAAACTGGAAGAAAATCAAATTAACAGTTGTTTCTCAGAGGTATAATTCAAACTCTGGGTAACGTCTGTGTAATATTCAAATTTTATGCACTGAATATGTATTACTCTTATAATTCAGAAATTATCTTTAATTAGACAATGCAGATACACTTCAGAGAGTCAATGTAGTTCAGCATTCCTTACCATTTATTTAATCAGATGACCTGTCACCTAACAGTAACATGGAATGAGATTAGTCATGGAGGGAATAGGATGAGGAAGGATAAACGTTTAGAGCTTTGGGATCTGATTGGGTGAGGTGTTGAGCAGACTTGTCTGGGCAAATAAAGGGCAATTTGCAGGAAGGCACTGGGCCTGAGGTAGCATGAACAAATGACCTAGCTTGCTATGGTATAAATTGTGTCCCCTAAACGGTATGTTGAAGTCCTACCCTCCTGTGCCTGTGAATGTAACCTTATTTTGAAATCAGGTCTTTGCAAATATAACTAGGCAAAAATGGTGGTCCTTAATCCAATATGACTGGTGTCCTAATAAGAAAGGAAAACAAAGACACAGACATGCAGGAAGAATTCCATGTGATAAGGGAGGCAGAGATTAGAGGGATGTACCTACAAGCCAAGGAGAACCAAGTATCACCAACAACCACCAAAAGCTAGGAAAGAGGCGCTGAACGGCTTTCTTCTTCAGAATCCCCAGAAAGAGGCAACCCTGCTAATACCTAAATTGGGACTTCTGGTCTCCAGAATTGTGAAAAAAATAAATTCATGTTGTTTTAAGCCAGGCAGTTTGTAGTACTTTCTTATAGCAGCCCTGGAAAACTAATTACCTAGTTCCAATTTATACATGTTGTCCCAGAGCACAGTTGACCCTTGAACAATACGAGGTGGAACTGGGCAGGTCCACATATATGGGAATTTTCTTCTGCCTCTGCCACCCCTGAGGCAACAAGATCAACCCCTTCTCTTCCTTCTCCTCTTCAGCCTACTCATCATGCAGACAAAGATGAAGACCTTTATGATGAGCCACTTCCGCTTAATGAATAGTAAATATTTTATTATTATCTTCTTAATAACATTTTCTTTTCTTTAGCTTACTTTATTGAAAAATACAGTATATAATAAATATATGTTAATCGACTATTTATGTTACCAATAAGCTTCCAGTCAACAGAAGACTTACTAGTAGCTAAGTTTTGAGGGAGTCAAAAATTATAGGCAGATTTTTAACTGCAGGAGGGGTCAGCACCCCTAATTTCTGCCTTGTTCAAGGGTCAACTGTAATTATTAATATCAGCCCTTTTTGCTCAAATAGAAAGTGTCTAGATTTGGGGGGTTAAAAAGAGGGAAAACCAGGAATTGGTAGGTATGAAATGGAAGAAGGAACAGGTTAGAGCTCTTGAGCTCTACCAGGTAGAAGTGACCGTGCTGGTGTGTAACGGCTTGTAGCAAGATACATATTCTGCACTGAGGGCAAAGAGGGTGCTGGTCACACCAGGTGCCCAGACACAGTCCTCTTGAGCTACAGCTTTGTCTGAGAGGGGAGACCAAAGCAAATGCTTTCAGAGGCCAGAAGGATGACAAATGAAAGAAGGGTCCAAGTGGAGATACCCTGGGGTGATATGTCCCGGGATAAGGGGTCAGAGACCTTCAGATCCTGTGTTTTATTGCCATGAGAGAATGTGGGTCCACTGTAGACAGTTGACATAGTTTGTATATTTGTACCCCACCCAAATCTCATGTTGAATCGCAATCCTCAATGTTGGAGGTGGACCCTGGTAGGAGGATGGTTTAGCACCATCCCTTTGGTGCTGTTCTTGTGATAGTGAGTGAGTTATCCTGAGATCTGGTCATTTAAAAGTGTGTGGCACCTCTTCCCCTCTTCCCCTTCTCCCCTACTCTCTCTTTCTCTCTCTCTCTCACTCTCTCTCTCTCTCACACACTCTCTCTCTCTCACTGTCTCACTCTCTCTCACTCACTCTTTCATTCACTCTCTCTCTCTCTCTTGCTCTCTCTCTCACTCACTCATTCACTCTCTCTCACTCTCACTCACTCTCTCACTCTCTCTCTCTCTCTTTCTTTCTCTCTCTTGCTTGTTCCTACTTTTGCCATGGGACATGACTATTTCCCCTTCTCTGGAGCCAATTAAATCTCTTTCCTTTGTAAATGACCCAGTCTCAGGTATTTCTTTACAGCAATGCATAATAGTCTTTCTGGATTTTCAGGAAAAGTCGAAATAAATATTTTTATGCATATGAAAAACTCTTGAGTTTTAAATGTTGGTAACATTTCAGCTTTTTTTAAATGTAGTGTGAGATACACAAAGCATGACTGCTTTTGGAATCAACACAGGCCACCAATTTGTGTCTTTCGCCTATGCCAGCCTTGTAAAGGCCACATTATCAATTACCTCCTTTCAAAGAATCTTCACCCCAGAACATGATTTTATAAATATTCAGCTTAGAACAGTGGGAATGCATTTGCAATCCCTCTGCACTAGCCGATTTTAGAACTCTAGAAATCTGGTCTACCTCCAACACGTTAGGCTTTTCATTTTCATTTTAATTGCTTGCCTCATTTCATCTTAAAAAATGTCTACCAGAATTTGAAATGGTAGACAAATTTAGCAGGCCTTCTCAAATGCAGAGAAACATTTAGAATTTTTCAAAACAGTAGCACTGGATCTCTCGATCTTAAAGGAGAACAAACAACACTAGAACCAATAGCATTCTATCTGCCCTTGTTCTGTTGTTCAAATATCAAGAACAAGATGGAAGGCCTGAGGCACTTTATACCTTTTTGCGTTCCAGGAGTTATGGGTTAAAAGAGATCTTAAAGGGCATCTGAGGCTGAGCCTCCACCAACTTCAATATCCACCTCTGTTTAAATACCTTCATGAAACTGGATCTTATGATCTGTGCACCAAGAATTTCACTGCTTCTCAGAAGAGAAAGTAACTTTGAATCTGCAATATTAACAGGCACTGTGTGTGTGTGCATGCGTGTCTGTGTGTGTGTGTGTTTGTGTGTATTCCCTATACTTAAGTATAGGGAATAATTGTTAAAGCCACTAGGTATGACGTTGGGACAGGTGAAGACTGTGCTTATTTATTTAGTTTTTCAAGCAATATTTATAGCTTCTACCATATACTAGGTACTACCCAGTGATTATATGATTACCCAGGCCAATAGAATGGATCACTTTGAGACTAAGTTGACCAGCTGATTTATTGCAAAATGAACTTCAGCACAGCAAACCAGAGGCTTCTAGTCTCTCAGACTCCTGAATGAACTTGGGGTTACCTCTATGATACAACTGCAACTACCAGGTTCCCCAAGTGGCTAGAGCAACCAATTGTTTTGGCATTAAACAACCAGAAACAGAGACTGTTGGAAATGGAAAGTCCTTTTGCGATCTCCAATGGCTTTTATTAATAGTATTCTTTATAATTTTTCAAATCTACCATTCTAGATAGTGATAGAACTTGAGCCCAAATCCATACTCCATGACTTAAGGTCCAGTGCTTTTCGTTACGTGACACATCTGTTGCATCGAATACAGTATTTCTCAATGCTTGTTGCATATCAGACAATACCTGACATGCTTTAAAAAATACAAACACATGGTCCCACCCTTGACCAATCAGTGAGAGTGGGACCCCAGTATCTGTTCGTGGTAAGTCCTTCCGTGTTGAAAACGTATTATGAGGGCAGGGAGCTACCGATCTCAGTCACTCATCAGAGATTTCAGGTGCTGTTGTTTTTATTCAGTGAAACGATCATGAACATACTACAGCTATACAATCGGTAAAGTCTTTCTCCTCTGGCATCTTTCTATAGATGATCCTCATTTCAGA